GATGAGTTATTTGTTGTTGGAATCTCGTTGTTCAAAATTCATGGATGAACAAAAAAGGAAAATGACGCCATAAAAATGGCCTATGCGGTCGCACAGGCGTGATTAGGAAATTCAGAGACAACCAATGTTATAACTATGTGACCACATAGTTATGGCCTATGCCTATGCGGTCACATAGTTATAAAATTAAACAGTTGGCTGGGTTTTTTCGAATTTTTTGGTGGTTGATTGATGAAGTATTGCACCTCTTGATTTAAGCTTGGAACCACTTCGTGAGGGATGGTTGAAACCTATAAATATATGTTGTGCGCATCAACTTTTAGATTGATTATTCATCCAATTTTTTGAGAGAAAATTTTGTTCATTCACATAATTAATTTTTTTTCCCACTTGTTCATTTGAAGATTCACTATGCTTTTAGTGATCTTCATAAGACTTGTTTAATCTTACAAACTATTTGCCATTAAATCCTTAAAAGCATTATAGATGAGGCAAATATTGTTTAAGGGACAACGATATAATTTTCGTGTTCAAGCCTTTACCGGATTTATATTCATCATTTTCTTTTTCTTTGTTTTTTCTTCATTACTGTATTTATTTTTTCATAACATTCTTAAACGATATTTGCTCATTTTACTGCGATGGAAACGGAAACTACACTTGCTATCATCAAGTTGTTGAATCAAGATTTGGTGCGCTTCAATAGATTTGATGGATCAAATTTCACAAGATTGATGTAATGGAAATGGTGGAGAAGGGGGATAGGCAGTGACGGACCCAGCACCCGGCCAGGGGGGGCAGCCGCGGGTGCTGGGCTCCGCCGAACCGACCGGAGTTCACTTCGCCGCCGACAGCTGCCTGTGCCTGGTTCGTCTTCTTCCTTTTTTTTTTCCTTCAGGTTATACAGAAACAAGCTTTGCGCACGATTGTACGCACGTATGGCTTAGTCAATTTTGAGATCAATTATAAATTGGCCCTGAAATTCCTCGTTATTATGAATTGGTGTTTTCTTCATGCAATTTAGATCCCAAGTCGTGAGGGTGACTAAAAGAAAACGTGCTTAATTCGAATTCCAGGCTGCAACTCAATTACATGAAGTTGGAATCGCTGTAACCGTCGATCAACTATACGACGATGAATTCGTTCCTTAAATTTAGTATTTTCTTATTTCTCACTTGCATCTACTATTTACGCAGAATATTTTCTTCAATCCAATTGACTCCCAACATTCTTGAATCATCAATACATGGTCCTAATCAACTTTTGAATATTTACGCTTTGATCCTAGAACTTTGAAATTTTACCTTTTCCACTCAAATTCATTCCTTTTCTTCAATTTCAACTTAAATTATGGAGTTCGACCTAAGCAACAAAATTGGCTATAATCCTTTGAAATCAATACATATTATTCTGACCCATACAAGTTTACAAAATACAATCCCCTAATTTCTGCTCCATAGTCCTAAGAGTTCAGATCGAAGGCAACTGTGTTGAAGATTCATTGAAGTTCAGCTTCGAGTAAAGGGATCATATGGAAAAGGAAAAGAATTTGGAAGTGAAGGAAGAAGACGAAGAAACAATAGAGCTGGTTCTATTTCAAGTATCTGAATGCTACGTGTATTTGGTAATTTCATTTTCGACTCCTTTTTAGGGTTCAGTATGATAAATTTAGGCTGGCGGTTTTACAATTATTGCACTTTTAATTGGGCTTCTATTTATTTATTTTTAGTAGATGGTGAGTAACTGGAAGAGAAGAAAATGATTGAATATTGCAGTTGAAATTCTGAGAATTTAGATGTTTGTAGTTTCAGTTTATAGCATATTACTTCCAAATTGTGGGAAAATATTGAAGATTGTTATAGAGTTGGGGGAATCTTCCAATTTATGTTAGATTTTGATATCGAAGGAGATTTGTTTTCAAAGTTGTTACCTTTTGAGCTGCTTGAGTCACACACCCAAAGGAAAAAAAAACATGAAATCTTTGATTGTCAGCAAGGAGATCAGGCAATATTGAATCGTTCCATGTCCATGGAATATTGTTCTCATTGAGAACATGATATGAAGTCCTCTTAAAAAAATTGAAGCTATAACAAAAAAAGGTCTGGCTCAATATGGAGGCATGTCCAATGGAAGTTGATTTTAGTTTTGTTTTTCAGAAAATTTTAATTTATGTGATTATTTGAGGTTGAGGATAGGAGATTCTGGGAATGCGGATCTTTATATGCTATTTTTTGTTAGGTTGGCTGCTTTTAGTCCGATGCATTGATCACAAGCTCCACAATGTGGATGATACTCTTTTCTACAGTTTTGCCTTCATCATTGTATTCTGAAAAACATACTCCAAAAGAATGAAAAATTCAGTAGTCAAAACTAATATTCCTATCATATAGAGCCCCTATACTAGTTCTCCACCCTGGCTTACGATCGCTTATTGTCGACGTTGACCGGTCAATGTTCGCCCGGACTGAACTTCAGTGCTGGGTCCGTCCTTGGGGATAGGGGTTAGGTGACAAACAATTGATGTAGTAATTTTAGATAGAAAAGGAGAACCAAAGAGTGTAGAGTGAATAATGAAAATGGCGAACTAGACAATGCACTGGCAACGGCGAATGCTAGTGGTGGGACAGAAATCACGAAGACGAAGTGAACTAAAAATACTATTTTTAGTTAAAAGAGTTTTATGAAAAGTTGAATCCAGCGTGACTTCCACTAAGATATCTTTCGAAAAATAAAGTTATTTAATTAATTAATTTCAAACACCAATTAAGGTAGCATTTTCAATGATCTCTTCTACAAAATTCAAAAGTAAAAATAAAAGCCAACCTTAAATATCAATTTTTAAAATAATGTGTTAATAATCGGTCACGATTGACCAAGATCGATGAATTTAGGTGAATAAGTCCAAAATGTATTTATTGGTTGGTAATGTGAACGGATATCTTAAGACCATTCAAACATAATTGTGTTCAAATTTTGAACGCGACCGGTAGACCTAATTGGCCGATAATAATTATAAAAGAGTTGGAAGTGGTTGGCCAGGCATGGCCTAAAAAGTTGCAACCTACAACATTGTGCTTCTACATATCAAACACACAATACTCATCTCTATCTTTTCAAAGCCTAATGAACCTAGTTTCCTAACCCTTTCTTTTGCTTAGTCCTTTTCAAGATATCGCCAAACCACACGATATCTCACATAAAGAAAAAATGCCATATATTGTGACACATTCAGGCAATATGCTTCTATCTAACAAGAACAACTCTTTCAAGAACCAAACAAAGAGTTATAAGTTGGCCTCCAAAGAGTGCACTGGTTTGGGTCATGAACATGGTCAGGCTACAACAAACAGAACATTTGAAATCTCGGATTGAACCACATCCCTAGATGGTGATTGATGTTTCCATTGCCACAGGAAAATCTACTTTCTATTTAATCATAGCTTTCAGAAACATAATATGGTGCTGCAAATGTCATAGTCCATACATTCACGCTATGGAGTAGATTTCGATTACAAAATGAATACATACAAATCTACTGAAAGAACGTCATAAATAGAACAGGTCTACAGAACGACCCAGGTAAATGCTACCAATCTCCACAAGGAACACACAAATGAATTTGCCAACTGTGACAATTCTACTATACACTTTGGCTAATTCGGCTTGCATGCAAATGAGTGTGTGTACGTATAAAAAAGACTGGAAAGCAGAAACAAAGTTTATATTCAGATAATGCTACTTAAGTAAACAGTATTAAATTCAAAATCCGCTTCTGTTTTGTCGGGACTTGCACAATGTGGGTCCTCAAACCATAACGGCATATTAAAGACCAATCAATGATTACATCAAACCATGTGAATCGACTAGTAAAAATGTACGTGCAGTGATATCTAACCATAACAAACTGTCAACAAAAATTCTTTGAAACGCGTTAAACCTAAATGCAGTGATTTTAAACAAATCGGCAATCTCATGCACAAGTTTTGGACTAGATCTATGTAAAAACGAAAAAGTGAAAGTGCAAAGCTTTCTAGGCATGGAGTAAAAGGTAGGGCTCTTGTTATGTACAAAGCACAAAGGCAAAAACTTGAACTTGACAAAAAGTCAAGAAAATTGCTTTCAGAACTCATAATACCTCCAAGCATATCTGAAGAATCAATATATGCTAACCTAAGCAGTAAAACCTAAGCAAGACCAGTATATCAAATCTTATGAGTGAGCCAAACCAAACAAGAAATGCAGATAAGCAAACAATTCAAATGAGCCTGCAAGATAAACTAAAGTTAATACCTCCTGAGCACTAATGACCAGCTTTCTAATCACATTAGATGTAGAGCACTAGTAAACAATATGCAGCTCAAATCATCCACAAGAATGGCATGCCATTTGAAACAAATGAATGACCACATTGACGAACGAAAAATATCGAACAAGTGCAGCTAAATTTCATTCTTGTAACATTGAATCAGATGAAACTTCCATTTCTACATCAAGAGATCAGGAACTAGACATCTTAAATCAACGCGAGAGAAATCCTGAAACAGCACATAATCGAAAAGATCATAGTCGTTCTTACATCTATTTTTAAAATTAAATATACCAATACGCATGTCCTTAACAACAGATTTCATATACATTTCAAAGAAGTCGATGGATAGTGGATGATAGGCAATCATCGAAAGATCATAATATAACAAAGGGACAGTCTGAATATCCATCCATCTTAACATCCACTATTATCCATAACATCAAGATTATAAATCTAAAATCAAGTAGATTCTCTTCAAACAACAGGACCCTATAGCAGACTGACCTTCAACCCACTTTAGTTTTTTTATCTCATGCTTTACCTAGCTATGAGCATTTTTCCTTTTTTTTTTAGGGTTTTTCTCCGCAATATAAAAACAAAAAAGTTGAAATAGGAATAGACAGAGAAAAAAATTGGGTAATTTAACCAGATGAGCATCTCCCATATGATTTGGCAGTCATCAGGGAACACATCAGAGTCGGAGGGCCGTGCAAGCTAGGTCGCACATGTCAGCGTCCACTGGCGGCGGGAGGTTGAGGTCGAAAGGCAAAGGCTTTTTACAAGAGGATGAGGCGATGTCGCATACACCATCATCCACAACGGAGGATGAGGAATCACAGTCGCTGTGACAGTCATCAGGAGACATCGGCGGCGACCTGGGATATCTCCTTTGCGGCTGAATGAGCTGCGGCGGTGCCGGCTGCCTTGGTCCACTAAACGACTCGACGGTGCTGCTCATGCCGCTGGAGGTAGGCCTTTGAGGGCCAACTATCTGATGTTCCTGATGGTAAAATCTAGGACCCACCATGAACGGGTCGTCAGGCTGATTATTGATCTGTTGATTGTTAAAATTTTGAGGCTTGAAATCACATAAAACGCCGTTCTGGTTGTTGAGTAACGGAAAGTTCGTCTTAGCCTTGGGCCCCCGGAGAGATCGAGCAGCGGCGTCGTATGCTCTAGCCGCGTCTTCAGCAGATTCAAACGTACCTAGCCACACCCGAGTCTTCTTCCAAGGGTCTCTGATCTCTGCAGCAAATTTTCCCCACGGTCTCTTTCTCACTCCCCGGAATCTGATCTCCTTAGATCCACCAGATCCGTTAGCCTCTCCGCCGTTCGCCGCCATTTGCCTTGCTGCCGCCGCCGGTCCTCTGCCTCGCCTCATCGTCAAATTCGATCAATATAGCCACAAGAAATTAATTTGCGCAAAGGAAAGCAAACAAATCTCTCTCTCAAAAGAGAAAGCTTTATATATCGATCAGAGATAGATTACGGGAATCAAGGAAAATACATATGTACAGAAAAAAAAAAACAAAACTAGAGAGGATGCGACCAGATTGTGATAATTTTTTTCTCTCTCAACTGCGTGTTGTGTGTGAAAAGAGAGATGGATGGAGAGAGAGAATAGAGTTTTTTTTTTTTTCAATTTTCTTTTTTTTTTTGGTGGGTTTCCTTTGCTTTCTCGATTTCTCTGCCTTCTCACGCGCTCCACAAACCGACTACGCTAATAACTTTACGAAAAGACCGAAAAACCTTTTTATTTTAATTTTTTTTCACTTTTATTTTCATTAATTGGGTAGTGTTTTTTAGATTGGATAGCAGTTTTGTTAGGCCATTTTCTATTTGCGTGAAAGATCAGAAGGGATTCAATGAATGGAGATAGGGTTAATCCATTTATACATAATGATTTGTACATAATATATTATTCCCTCTCACATAATGTGCGGGACTCGAATGTATTTAAAAATTCTGACAATGTGATCTCCATTCCGGTTGTGAATAGTAGGTAAAAGATTCGGTACATGTAACATGATCCATGGAGACACACCTTGGTTACGTGATAGTCTTTAAAATTCTATAGATGTGTTGAGTGGTAACATAACTAGTCTGCATACTATAAATATATTTAGTTATAATAAGACTTTTGGTAATTTGATAAAATATTACGTGATCATACTTACAATTTGTAACGATACAAGCATGTGTTCAAGTCAAATTTTTACATATGGTTCATTTTGGGAAAGTCCATGTTCATCCTACTCTCTACAATTTTTTTTATCGCATTCTTTGAATTTGAACTCATTAACTATGTCTTATGATATACTTAAGTCGAATTCTAATACTAATTAGCAAGTTACGGTGCTTGTGTCTTTCAAGGGCGTGCATTTTATCGAGTTGAATTTTATTGGCCATGAGTGTGACGTCAAATGTGGCTCATCTTCTATGTACTGATCCAACTCTAAGTCAAAGTCAAAGAGTGTGGGACCTAAAGGTGCAAGATGGACATGTACCAATAAATGAGTGATATAAATATGTCGGTGCACAATTTTTCGTTGAAATTTCACATCGACAATGGATTTGTACTAATGACCAATGTTAACATATGCGCCAAGAATCTAATTTAAAAGCATGATTTAGAAATTTACTATTCATATCGAGTCAAACGGTGAAATTGTAGTTGCTTGACTGGCAAAGAGTTTAGATCTTATGTTCAATTGTAGATCAGTTAAGGGTAACGAGCTTGTCCTCAAGGTGAATTGTGTGCTTGGATAGCTAGCACAAGAAGTTGCGAATATTTTATGGAGCGATAATATAAGAAATTTGCTTTAAAAAGAAACAAATATCTTTTCAAGCGATTTAATAATTATTTAAAGGCCTAGACTTAAAACGATTGAAATGAAACTCAAGAACATTTTAATGTCCCACAATCAAGTCAGCATGTGTAACACGTGTATACGAAGAATTAGAAAAAGAAGACTTTACTATTCTACTTAGATACTTTTTGTTTATGTAGATGAAAGGCGAAATTTGCTACTGAATAATGAAGAAAATGTATTCTTCAAGTGATCAAAATGTAATACTTGAAGTAGTTGAGCAATATCTATTAGGTGATTCAAAATTCTCTAGTGATGTTAATCTTACAAATTGATGTTTATATAAGCGATATCTCACTAGGATTATTTTTAAGTTTGATCGGATAACATTTTTGTCTCGACAACCAACTTGAAGTACAACGAGAAGACAAAATGTTTTAAATTTTGCTTTATCTATTTGTTATTCTGATGAGATAGTTTCTCATATTCTCAAGTGGTTTAGTTTGAATCCCGATCTAACTAGGATAAAGCTATGTTCCTTACGAGTGCGCAATCTCTTTGGTATTGGAATCCATTGGACAATTTCTCGTGTCCTTTTGGAGTCTAGCTCGAGCCTCCGTCTAACTGTTGATGGGAATTTGAATGGAGTAATGACTTCAAAAACAAACAAACTTACCAACCTTATCAAATTTGGACAGATCAATGGCAAGGAATCGAAGAATAAATCATAAAACTATCAAACTATCACCACAAAAATGAAATTAAAATCGAGACAAGAGTTGGACTCTTTATCCTTAAGTCGAATTTGCCCTGTAACAATGTATATAGATTATGGTAATCAATTCTCAAGATACAACGACAATATTCTTGTGTTAGTAGCACTCCAAAACACAAGAACCAAAATTAGGTTATTGTACTATTTTTGAATGAAATGAAAAAACAACCTTCATGCAAAGTTTTTGGTAAGAAAATGTGGAATTTTATACTATGCAATGATTGCATATCATTGAGAAGATGAAATTGACGTCACAAGGGTTTTATTTATAGATGAGGAAATGTTGTGAATTAAGTGCCTTGGCCCAAAACTCACAACATTCACCAAAGATCGCAACTTTTGATGTCGCTAGTCTGTCGCCCGTTTGTTGCTTGAGCGTCAGAAACAAAGAGTTTGTTGCTGGAGCGACAATCTCACCATTCGAGTGTTAGGCGAGCGACAGAGTTAAATAAATACCCAGCTAGTTTCTTCTTTTTTCTTTCAACTTTGGACTGTAATTTCTCATTCACTCGAAATTGATTTTGAAATTTCGAACATACCACAAAAATCTACTCAACAAGTAAAACAAGTTAGTCTATTTATTTTTATAATTTGATTATCAGATCAAATCCTAATATTTGATCGAATTTGATAAGAAAGTTATTTCTCCATATCCTAATATTTGATCGAATTTGATAAGAAAGTTATTTCTCCATATTTATACTCAACCAATTTCAAGTAACTAGGTTTGAGCTATGTTCTTTAAGAGTTTGTTTGAACAAATATGCGTGACATTCAGAGTATATCATCAAATAATATTTTTGAAAGAGGATAAAAATGTCATAAAACAAAATTAGACTGCCCCTGGAATTATTTCTCCCGATGACGCTACTGAGACCCATAGCCAGTCACTGCCAGGCCTGGCCCACACTGTTATAATCTTAGCCCATAGGCTGAACTTTGACAAGCTAATCCCAACCAAACCCGAGAGGGCCAACTTGGAGCAATAATAGGTCCCACCATAATGCACGTTTAACCATAAATCTATAATCACTGTGATGAAATTTGCCCGCCTCAATTGACCTGGAACCGGCTAAACCCGTCGGCTATGACAGACAAAAGGCTGGATATAAACGGGAATACTTTATTTGACTGACACGTTTCAATTTAAGGCATCAAGTCGGTGGATTTGTGTTGAATATTTTATGTTGAACGTTGACTGCAGAAGGTGTGGGTGCCGGTATTATGCGGCCAAATTACGTTTCTTGCGGCGCCAAGTAAATTTTCGTCTTGATGCAAATTCTATTTGACTCAGTTAGGGCAAAGGTGAAAAAAAATTTCAATTTCATGTTAGTTGAAAAATAAAAATTCATCAAATTCATAAGAATTCATTCTCCATGAAAATAAAGAAAAATGCAGCTTAAAGTGATTGTATTTTGGAATTCGATTTCCATTTTCACGTTACAATCAAACGGTTAAAGTGAAATTCGTTTTCTTTGGATGTGACATTTTTCATGGAATTCATTGTAATCAAACATGGTCTTCATGTTTTTAAATTTTAAAATTAAAGGTGGTTTGTTTGGTAAAGTAAGCTGTCAAATACATTGTTTAATGATTTTTTAGAAAAAAATATAGTTGTATCTGTTGTGTTAAGAGTTGTTTAATATTACTATTTATTAACAAATTCTAGAAAAATACGATTTTTTTTTAATTTTAAACTATCAAGTTATTAATGAATAGAAATGAAATAAAATGAAATCTATGAAGTATAATATAGCCGCGTTGAAGATACATGACTAGGTTGAGATTCTCAAAGTCAAAGAGTGTGGGACCTAAAGGTGCAAGATGGACATGTACCAATAAATGAGTGATATAAATATGTCGGTGCACAATTTTTCGTTGAAATTTCACATCGACAATGGATTTGTACTAACGACCAATGTTAACATATGCGCCAAGAATCTAATTTAAAAGCATGATTTAGAAATTTACTATTCATATCGAGTCAAATGGCGAAATTGTAGTTGCTTGACTGGCAAAGAGTTTAGATCTTATGTTCAATTGTAGGTCAGTTAAGGGTAACGAGCTTGTCCTCAAGGTGAATTGTGTGCTTGGATAGCTAGCACAAGAAGTTGCGAATATTTTATGGAGGGATAATATAAGAAATTTGCTTTAAAATGAAACAAATATCTTTTCAAGCGATTTAATAATTATTTAAAGGCCTAGACTTAAAACGATTAAAATGAAACTCAAGAACATTTGAATGTCCCACAATCAAGTCAGCATGTGTAACACGTGTATACGAAGAATTAGAAAAAGACGACTTTACTAGTCTACTTAGATACTTTTTGTTTATGTAAATGAAAGATGAAATTTGCTACTGAATATTGAAGAAAATGTATTCTTCGCGATCAAAATGTAATACTTGAAGTAGTTGAGCAATATCTATTAGGTGATTCAAAATTCTCTAGTGATTATAATCTTACAAATTGATGTTTATATAAGCGATATCTCACGAGGATTATTTTTAAGTTTCATCGGATAACATTTTTGTCTTAACAACCAACTTGAAGTACAATGAGAAGACAAAATGTTTTAAATTTTGCTTTGTCTATTTGTTATTCTGATGAGATAGTTTCTCATATTCTCAAGTGGTTTAGTTTGAATCCCGATCTAACTAGGATAAAGCTATGTTCCTTAAGAGTGCTCAATTTCTTTGGTATTGGAATCCATTGGACAATTTCTCGTGTCCTTCTGAAGTCCAGCTCGAGCCTCCGTCTAACCGTTGATGGGAATTTGAATGGAGTGATGACTTTA